TCACAGGGACGATGAGGTAGCAGAGCAAGTGTGCCCCAAACCAGGTTTTCTGCCTTCACATCAGAGGTTACAGACACTTAAGTATTAGGAAAATTTTGACCTTATTTTACAGATGTTTGGGAAGATGAACATTTTGAGTCAAAATAACGACTTTAGTAGATCTTTTCAGAAAATCCTAAAAATGCACAACCCTGATACAATAAAATCAAGACATTTTCATTTCTAAATCCTTGTAATAAAACTATGGAAAATATTATCAAATTACCTCTGACAATACACAAAGTTCTTTAAAAAAGAATGCATACAGACACTTGCTATTATTTTAGGACATAGTGTATGGGTCTGATATTTCCCTTTGTGAGATTTGTCGGGTGGGAAAACATGAAAGGTAATTATGTTGATCACCAGAATTTTTCTGTGGAATAGTAAGAGGGTGATATCCCCATTCGAGAAGAAAAAGGCTTTCTTCTTTATATACCTGTGGGCAAAGGGAGGACTTCTCACACCTTCATTAATTGTTTAAGCAACATTGCATCAAACATGTAATTGTAATTTTTGAGTTCCTATGTAGTTAACGTTGCCTCATGAGTATTTTTTTCTCATATACTTAAAGTTGCAGGGATGTTTGCTTTTTTCAAGCATAAAAATCTGCACAGCAATTCCCGCACTGAGAAACCTATGGAAATAAGAGCTACCAAACTGCTTGGGATTTGAAAGATAATTTTAAAGGAGGAAAATTAATTCATTGCTTCATAAGCTTTTTATAGTTATGGACCTTCTCATTTTTTGTGATAAAGACTTATAATATATTCAAAGCCTAATTTAGAATAATTCCATTTTAGCACTTTAGGACAGCAATATCTTACATGAAAGATATACTAGCAGTGAATGGTGTAAAATGGTAGTAAACCCAATGAAAAATGAAATTGTACTGTTATAAAAAATTAACAAGCTTCATGTCATTTCACATCTTGTTTAAAAGACAGGAGGCTAAGTATTTACAGTGGTCAAAGTCTATTCTGTTTTTCCCTCCTTTTTTTTTTTTTTTTCGGTACGCGGGCCTCTCACGGCCTCTCACGGCCTCTCCAGCTGCGGAGCATAGGCTCAGCGGCCATGGCTCACGGGCCCAGCCGCTCCGCGGCATGTGGGATCTTCGCGGACCGGGGCACGAACCAGTGTCCCCTGCATCGGCAGGCGTGCTCTCAACCACTGCGCCACCCGGGAAGCCCTATTTTTCCCTCCTTTTTGCTCTAGTGTAGCTGGACTGTGGTCCTACCAGCAGGGATTAAAGTAGTGTGATTTCTAGGCAGGGATTTTGTCTTTCTTGCTCACTCTCTTAAACTCCTATTTACCACAGTTCCTAGCAAATGCTCAATACATATTCATGGAATGAATGTGCAGAAGTCAGAGAAGATCAACTGATTAGCCTATCAAAGGATGTAATATGGAAAAACTTAAGAGTTTCATAGGAAAATGGACTCTCTAAAGGAAGCATGTGTTCAATATTGGATTTCTTCTTCTGGTAATCTTAGTTGCCTTTAAACTCAAAACAGTTTTAGGACAGTTTTGTTCTTTAAGAAATTAAACATAGAAATATTAAAGTATTTAATGTTTTAAATATTTAACACAAGCATTTAGTATATTAAATTATTAAATAATTTTAATTTTAAGGACTAAAATACTGCTATTAAATTAAATATTAATGTGATATTAAATTATTTATTAAGCCAATTAGAATTATATTAAAGGTATGAATAATAAACACAAATGTAAAATAATTCAATAATTCAGTCAGTCATTCAAAAACCATATTAGCTACTGACTATGTGCTGGGCAGTGTCCTAGGTACTTGGGATATAATAGTGAATAAAAAGATAAAACCTCTCTTAGGGAGTGAGAGAAGACACACAACAAACAGCTAGAGAATGAACAAACAAGTAAATGTATAAGTGTATGGGCGTGATAAGTTGTATGGAGGAAAATACAACAGAATAAGGTTATAGAGCATTGTGGAGAAGTACTATTTTATACAGGATGAACAAGGGCATGCAGTAGTTACCTGAATGGAATGAAGGAATAAACCATAAGGGTCACTGTGGGAAGTCATTTCAAGCCTAAGAGACAGATGAAACAGATTTGAATGGGAAGGATGTTTGTCATATTCAAGGAAGAGCAAAATATCTGATGTAGCATAAGAATGAAAGACAGAAATGATTCAGGAATTATATGATAATAGTGGGTATGTTGTGTAGAGGCCGGAGTAAGGACTCTGAGCTTTATTCTTACTGAGATTTCAAGCTCCTGGGGGATTTAGAACATAAGAATGATATAATATGACTTAGTTTAAAACTAATGACTTAGTTTTAAAGAGATAGCTCTGGCTACATACCAGGGGAGGGAAGCCAGGATAGGTGGACACACAATTTAGAATCAGAGAGACCAGTTAGGAGGGTATTTTAATACAGTAGAGATAATGTTGGGGGTGAAACATGGTATTTTTTGTGTGTGCTGTTTGTAGCAAATATCTTTATTCTGGATGTATTTCAAATTTAGTGCTGATGTATTAGAAGTAGATAGTGAGAGAAAGAGTCAAGGATGAGTTATGGGTTTTTGGCTTGAGCAAATGAAAAACTGTGGGTACCATCCCTAAAACGAAGAGAAGTGGGGAGCGTGTGGTGTGGAGAAGGAAATCAAATACAGGGTTTTAGGCAGGCTAAGTTTCAGATGTGTAATAGCCAAGTAGAAGCTTCACTAGGCAGCCAGATACCTGTATTAAGTTGGTTTTCACTCAGACACCATTAGCCAGGAAGCAATTTGTGGAGAGCGGAGTTCTTTATTCTTTTCTGTCCAGGTATCATAAATTCCCTAACCAAAACAAAAAATATATTTTGTCCTGTCTCTGAATTTCCTATGATATTTGAAAGAGCTAATAAACCTTTTATTTGTGCTTCCTTAACTTATTGTAATTAATTAAAATTAGGCTAAGAGCCATTTAGAAAATTAGTATAGCCTGAATATAATAAAAATGATAATCATCATATCACGGATTGACTTCTTACTTTATGCCAAGCACTCTTCTAAGTACTTTATTATAGTATTTGCCAAACTCATATTTTATTTCAGATGTACTGAACACATAAGAGAGGCTTAGAAATGCTGAACAATTTGACTGGTTACATGGCTAATAGGTTCAAATAATTTCAAGCGCTGCATTCTTATAGAGCATTTAAAATCATGCTATAGGTTTGGGGCACAAATCATTTCTCCCTTCCATATTAATTTTTCCCTAAAAGATCAAAAAGAATAATGGTGTAAGAAGCATTTTTCTTTAGAGACAAAATAGTTCCCCTAAGCAAACATTAATCTACTCAAGCACACCTAGTTACCTCTACCACCAAGAAAATATTTTTCTGGTGTGTTTTTTGTTTTGTTTTGGTTTTGTTTTTGTTTTTCTGCTTTACTGTCCCAAAGCAGCCACCATGGAATTCCACATACCCAAATAGTACTCTCCTGCTCTCCATTCAAACGTTCTGGAGTTCACTGAACTCCTTATCCTATATCTGATATCCAGCACTGTCTCCATATTCCTAAACATTCTGACACTTTTTATTCAGTTTTTTGACCACTCAACAATACTCTTCTACTAAACTATTGTCCCAGAGTGTTAAAGCCCCTTGGCAATTCTGGGTGCCATTGTAGGCATTTAGAAAGTAACTAGGGAGGTGTAAAAAGTTGGCCATGAGAGACAGCGCTGATTTAGAAGATGACATGGAACTGAGATATTGGATGTGAGCAGCAATTGCAATTGGTAACATTTGTTTATAACTTTGGACAGATGCTACTTAGTTGTAGGTGTGTATATTAGTTAGTAATGACTTGAAATTACCTCTAGTTATTTCAGGAAAAAGAAAAAAGAGAGAACGTTCAATCACTATTTTAGCCAACATAAAACAACCTTCGGTGTTCTCATAAAGGTGAAACATAAATACCATCAGTGAGTAGGGAAATCATCCATTGGCTGTGCATCTAACTCCTTGCTTTTACTGATCCACTCTCAATCTGAAGTGGTAACCATCTGGCCCTAACATGAGCTATGTAACTTCAGTATAGATCTCTGCTTCTGCCCCCTTTAAGTTTGTTGCTCATATGTGTTCTACCATTGTCACACTTAACGGTCAGGTAGGTCTGTTTTGAATTTCAGAGGCATCATTTATTTCTGTGTGATGTTGGAAAAGTTACTTCATCTTTTGATTCCAGCTTTGTTTTTTCACATATGAAGCATATATGATGATACCTACTCTGCAGGTTTGTTGGGAATATGAAAAGAATTAGCATGTGTGAAACACATAGCATGGAAGCTATAAAATAGTAGATGCTCAATAAATATTCTTATTAAATTTTTACATGTAAACAAAATGCATAATTAATTTATAATTATAACAAGGAAATATGTGGTTTTTGTTACTAATTCAAAAAAGGACCCTTGACATGTACAGAGGAACATACAGATTTCATCAAATAAAAATGTGAGTGGATGTGCATAATTTTTCATGTATGTGTTTGCACTCATAACACATTCTCCTTTAAATATTTTCTTTATTAAAGACACTTTTGCTTTGAAACCACGAAGAATTGGTGATATTAAAAATAACCATTGAAATGTGATATTTATTCATAAAAATGTAAGTGATTTCTCCAGATGTGGAGGCGTGTTTCAAAGAATTATGAAAGCCAAAACTTCAAAGGAGAATTATTAGAAAGAACACTTTAAGCAAAACATCATTAGAATTGTCTAATTCATTCTCCAAGCGTCCAACAAGGTAACTAAATGACATTAGGAAAACCAAAATGTTCTCTGCATATTCACCCTTCTTGAAAAATGTCAGTAACAAATGGTATAACATAAAATAAAATTGAGTCTGTTATTGTCAGCTTTAAATTCTGATGCTCCTTTGGATGACTCATCTAAAGATCCATTGGTCTCTGTGTTTGTTTGACAGGTACTATCACAGGTCACTCTCCTTCTGAGGGCTTGCTTCATTATCCTGACTTTGACCTCCATTGGATTTCTTCTGGATCAAAGGTAAGAAGTGAAATTCTTTCATTTTATGTAACTTTATAATGTGGTTTTAAAAATATATGTGAAATTCAGCAAATGTTTGTTATTAAAAAAATAAAGTTGAAACTACAAATTCACACCTTCATTTTAAATGAGACAGAGTAGTGGTTTGTCTGCTTTTAAATCAAAGGTCCATTTTAAATCTAAGCCCTTTAAGTGAAATTTAGGTTTTTCAAGTATATTAAGAAAACTTATAAAATATAGTGATTAAGTCAGCAAAACATAGAGTATATCTCTGAGTATGTAATAAAACCTAAAAATTATTTATTTTTCCTTTGCTATTGAACAGTTCAGAATATACACCTAAGTGTATATATAGTTGTCTCTCGGTATTGGCAAGAGATTGGTTCCAGGACGTAGCTCCGCCCACCCCCATACCAAAATCTGCAGATGCTCAAGTCCCTTATGTAAAATGGCATAGTAGGGTTTCCCTGGTGGTGCAGTGGTTGAGAGTCCGCCTGCCGATGCAGGGGACACGGGTTCGTGCCCCGGTCCGGGAAGATCCCACATGCCGCGGAACGGCTGGGCCCGTGAGCCATGGCCGCTGAGCCTGCTCGTCCGGAGCCTGTGCTCCGCAACGGGAGAGGCCACAACAGTGAGAGGCCCGCGTACCGCAAACAAAACAAAACACAAAGCAACAAAAAAGAAAAAAAAATGGCATAGTATTTGCACAGAAGCTACGCACATGCTCCCATAAATTTAAATCATCTATCTAGATTACTTATAATACTTAATACAATGTATGTGCTATGTAAATAGTTGTAAATACAATATAAATGCTATGTAAATAGTTGCTGGCAGTGGGAAATTCAAGTTTTACTTTTTGGAACTTTCTGGAATTTTTAAAAAATATTTTTTCATCTGCAGTTGGTTGAATCTGAGGTGCAGAACCCATGAATATGGAGGGCCAACTGCATATTTAAAGTTTATGTCCTTTTCTCACAACATAGTATTTAATGAATCCAGTTTCAAATACTACTCTGGCCAGAAAATACATTCACTTGAACAATTTTAAATTGCTTTTATGGCTGAAGGTATATAGCAAAACACCCACTTGTTATTGCTTAGTATTTATCAATCATTAAAATTAATACCAATACTTATGTACTTAATATGTGCCACAGAATGCTTAATTATTTCTTGTAACACTTTAAGATAAGAATTACTATAAACTCCATTTTACAGGTTATGAAAGTCAGACAGAAGAACACTAAGAGATAGAACACAAACCCAAGCAATATGACCTCAGAATTCACGTATTATAGAATTTACATGTAACTGTGAAAAATGGCAAAAAAGCTCAGTCATTCTTGAAATCTTATCATCGTTGTAGTGTAATTGTTTTTCAAGTAGGTAACCAATAACCACATTACTTTCAGGAAATTTTAAATGTAAAAGTCCAGTAAACATACATTTAATCTATATTTAATATCATGTCACTTTCCTAAGAAATGCTTAATAGCTGCTCTGGAATATCAGTAGATTCTGAAGTTTCATCAAGATGCAGGTCCAAATGGTTAATGGAGCTGTGTACAGTATGCCTTCGCTATAAACATTTGGTAGAGGGATGCGGCTGGCACACTTCACATAGTCATATGTAAACGGTGTGTAGAATTTTAAACGTATTTCCTTCTGTAGTTTAAAAATTGTGTTTATTTTATCATTTAACTTATTTGGCTTTCTATCCATCCCTACTTTTCTATATTAGAAATAAAAGGCATACTAAGCCATAAGAAAAGAAAATGAAAAACTGAGTCACAAGATAATCTGAAATAATTACCCAGATCCAAAGAATCAGGATCACGTTTTAAAGATCACAGTTCTGTTGGTTCCATATACGTAGTAAAATTATCAATCAGCCAATAACAATAACATAGTTTTATGTTTTTAATGAAGATTTTTTTGTTTCCGTGGATACAAATAAATGGGCCAAATAAGCAAGCTATTGATTTTATCACAATATATCCTATGATACATTAAGCTATTCATATTGTATATATTTATATAAAGTCTCCCCTGCCTCTGGCCTTATTTAGGAACTCATACTGAGATATAGGTATGTCATTGTACAAAGGAAGCCAGAAGAGAATGAAATGATATGTTTAAAGTGCTGAAAGAAAATTACTGCTAACCTGTAATTCTATATCCAGCAAAAATGTAGGTGAAGTAAAAACTGTTTATACAAATTTCTATAGCAAGCTTCACATTTGATAGTGAAATGTTGAAAATTTTCCTTTGAAACTGAGAAGCAGTTAGATATGCTCATTATTTAACACTGGGCTGGAAACTGTCAGTGGAGAAAGGAAAGAGAAAAGCTATAAGGATTTGAAAGGAATTAATAAATTAATTAGAAAATTAATTTATGTTAATCTAAAAGCTAATTAGTGAATTAATTAGAAAATCTAAGGAATCTATAGGGAATTTATTCAAATTAATGGATGAATTTCAGAAAAGTTTTAAAGAAATTATCATCAACGATATTTTTATGTACTAGGAAATATAAAACTTTATGCAATAGCATCAAATATATCAAATACCAAGAAAAAACAATCCTAAAAAAATGAGTACAAAATCTCTAGACTACACTGTAGAACTATTGAAATACTGTGAAAAATAAAGAATTTTTAAAATTGGAGAGATAACTATTCATAAATTAGAATCCTCAATATTGTAAAGATTATAATTTCAGCAATTGATTTACATATTCAGTGCAATTTGAATTAAAATTATAAAAGGTCTCTTCTTTGTGGAATTTGACAGGACCTTTCTAAAATACATGTATATGGAAATGCAAAGGCCCAATAATAGCCAGCACAATCTTGAGATTTTTTTACAATGGCAGGAGTTGAGTTACTGGCTATCAATATTTATTATAAAGCTACAGTAATTAGACATGTTTTATTGGCACAAAGATTAGAACAGAGAACCTAGAAACAGATCTATGCATATATATGGACTTGATTTGTGACAAAGGTGTCCCTGCAGAGCTACGGGAAAATGCTATCTTTTCCATAAATGGTCTTAGTAAAACTGAATTTCCACATAGGAATAAGAAAAATAAACTTGACAAATATTTCACACCATAAAAAATTAATTCTGGGGTCAGGGGATTGCAGATTTAAAAGTGAGAGGAAAGCCAGTACAGATTCCAGCAGATAGTATAGTAACATATCTCTATAACCTTGGAGTAGGTAAAAATATTAAATGGTTCACAGAAATCCCTAATCACATAGATAAAACTGATGAATTAGATTAGAATAATATTACGAAAGTCAGTTCTTCAAAAATTAACTCTTATTAAGACAGTACAAAAGTAAAATTCTCAGGAGATGGTATTTGCCAATTTTTATAAGCAACAAAGACGTTGTATCACAAATGGCTAAAATTAAAAGAATTGACAATACCACCTATTGGAATGCTCACACCCTAAAGGAGGCAGTTTATATTGTGATACCTAATTTGAAAAACGGTTTGAGAATTTTACTGAATTTGAATATGTGTGTGTGTGTGTGTATATATATATATACACACACACACACACACACACACACACATATACCCTATAACACGGCCATTCAATTCCAGATATATACTAACAATGCACCCCAAAATCACGTTAAAGAATGTTCAGAAAGCATTGTTCCTAATAAACAAATGATGCCAACAATCCAAATGTCCTTCACAAGGTGAATGGATGCATGAATATTCATAGGTTCACACAGTGGAATACTATGCACGAGTGAAGAATGACCTACTGCTGCATGCAGAATCGTAGATGTATCTCACTAACAACACTGATTGAAAGATGCTAAATACAAAAAGGTGCAGACGATATAATTTCATTTACAAAAAGTAAAAAAAAGATGAGTAAAGAACAGTTTTTTAAAAAAAAAGAAGTTTTTAGAAATTTATGCTAAAGCAATAAAAATATAAGTAAAAGAGAGCAAGAAATGGTATGATTAGCATAAATGATAAACTAACAGGTTGTGATTCTTTTTGCAACAGAGGGAGGGTGGAAGTATTGAGGAGGTGAGATGTCTTTGGGGGGGGCTACTATTGAGTAGTGGTTAAATGGTTGTTTATTTGTTGAAAATCTTTGAGCTGCATATTTCTGTTTTGTGTACTTCTCCCTATGTATGTTTCACTTCACAATATAAAGTTAAACAGTAAATGATAGAACAGAATTAATACAAATAAATGTGTTTTAAATTAGACATTTTATTTTCTGTTTTATCACTGAATATTACCCAAATATCAATTTAAAAAATAATAGTTTACAGTAATGAAGTAAGATTATTTTACAAGGGAAAAAATTTCTTAACATTTTTTTCACATACACAAAAATCACATTACTTGGATGCAAATGAATCATAAACTGTCACCCTGTTTTAACTGAGTTTAAATTATTTGGTAGAAATGTGTTGTCTATTTTTGCACAAAAATGTTATATTCAATTTTATAGAAACAACATGTCATTATTCTTTTTAATTTTATTATTTATTTATTTTGGACTGTATTGGGTCTCCATTACTGCACGCAGGCTTTTCTCTAGTTGTGGCGAGCAGGGGCCACTCTTCGGTGTGGTGAGCAGGCTTCTCATTGTGGTGGCTACTCTTTTGTGGCAGAGCACGGGCTCTAGGCGCACAGGCTTCAGTAGTTGTGGCATGTGGGCTCAGTAGTTGTGGCTCGTGGGCTCTAGAGCGCAGGCTCAGTAGTTGTGGCGCACCGGCTTAGTTGCTCCATGGCATGTGGGATCTTCCTGGACCTGCGCTCGAACCCGTGTCCCCTGCATTGGCAGGTGGATTCTTAACAGCTGCACCACCAGGGAAGTCCACAACATGTCATAATTGATGGCAGAAGAATTTTTTAAGCTTAATGTATACACTATTTTAGATTTTTTTATACTTTTTTCTTTACCTCTATATTCTAAATTAACTAAATAAAATATAACTTTATTATAATGACATTAATTCAATAATATTTTATTAAAAAATTCACCTTACATAAAAATACCATTTGTCTTTTATGAAAATATTTAATTATACAATAAATGTTGGTTGACTATTATATGAAGTGTATTTTAATCCGATAAAGTAGCTGTTCATTCCTATTATTATAAGGCAATTTATAAATGCCTATCTGTGTGACCCTCAACTCCATTTTAAATACATATACCTATTTTATATGTTAGAGTTTGAATTTCAAGAATACTATATATAACGAAAATATTCATCACAAAATAATTAATAAAGATCTATGCTGCCTATCATGTTAGACTTAACTACACATTGTCATGTTCCCAATATTTCATAATTCGAGCATTCATTATTTTAGAGTACTGTCGTTAACTGTGTCAGTCATCCTAAGAAGTCATTTATTAAATGAATGAAGTTTGAAGGTATTGGGTCAGTGAGGGGAGTCTAGTCTTGAAACCCTAGAAATTCAGTTGTCTAATATTTTATTTATTAGTTGAAAATGTTTCGCCCTAATTCAGCAATTCTCAAACTAAGCAATAAATTGATAAAGAATAGATTTTCTTTAAAAGATGCATTTTGTGTCTTAGTTTAATGCCTTTTTTCAAGCAGCTTCAGAGGCACATGTTCCTCAAATATATTAAAATACTATGTGTTTCTTGAAAATTAAAATAAGTATATATCACTCTATTAATTATACCAGGTAATAAAGACCATATTTAAAGCTAACACATGTAGGGCTTCCCTGGTGGCACAGTGGTTGAGAGTCTGCCTGCCAATGCAGGGGACACGGGTTCGTGCCCCGGTCCGGGAAGATCCCACATGCGTCCGGAGATCCCACAGGAAGATCCCACATGCTCTGCAACGGGAGAGGCCACAACAGTGAGAGACCCGCGTACTGCAAACAAAACAAAACAAAACAAAACAAAATAAAGCTAATGCATGTAAATGACATTTTATTTCAGACCTAAGGCAGCTGTTCTGGAAGCTTTCCGTTGCTTGGTGTTCCTAATGCTGTGTAGATTGGGTCATCTGAAGTCTTTCCTCCCTTCTTTGTCATTTGCTTTTGAGGTAAGATATTTGCTTTAGGTAGCTATAGCAGGATTAAACATCTGTTGCATATTTAATTCATTCATTCAACAATGTTTTTGTCTATTTATTTTGTGACTAGTATTTGTGGGAAATTTTTACCCATTCACTTACTTGCCAGTACTTATTTGTTGTGTCACCTTGAGCTAGTTAATATTGTTGAGTCTCAGTTGTTTGGTCTCTAAATTTGGATTGATACTATTAACCTTCATAAAGTGGTTGGACAAATTGCATTGCATGATGTTTATAAAGAAAGTAGGCCATGTAGTTGTTTCTCAACAAGTGGTAGAAGTGACTTTACAAAAAGTTCTTGGCAGAGTCTCTGCCATTTGAGATTTTTCTTTTTAGGCTGTTAAAGTGAAAATTGTGACTAGGATGTTTTGTTAATTACTTACGAGAGTTAATAATTCTATAGAAATAAAATCATTAATTGAGATTTTTCTACAACTGAAAAATATGTTTAATTTGACCTGTTAGGATTAAAACTTATCTTCCAAGAACACTGAACTTTTGCATTCATATTTATGATTTTGAATCTTAGATAACTGTTAAAAAAACATAATTCTCATCACTATTGTTTTAATGGACATGGTTTTATTCTTTTAAATCAAGGGTTATATTGTTTAACTTTGGTGCTGAGCAACCCACCAACATCCTCGGAATGTGCATTGTATAACCTTATTTAAGCATGAAACATAGATGCTAGTATTCTCTCCAGTGTTAATGGAAAACTGAAAGAGACAGTTTCATAATTGAGTAATAATTATAAGTTGGGACAGACGCTGTGGAAGACAATTCAGTGATACTTATCAAATTACAGATACTCATACCCTTTGACCCAGCGTTCCACTCCAAGGAATTTGTGCTACACAAATGATACGCTCACACGTGTGCAAACTGATGTATATGCAAAGTTAGTCATTTGTAATAGAATGACTGAAAACAACCTAATAGCCATTAATAGGGAACTGCTTAAATTTTGTGGTTCACTCACAAAGTAGAATATGCATTTACCAATGGAAAGAGCAAAGTTTTTAATACCAGTATGGAGCATTTATAAAAAATACATATATATTTGATCTTGCTGCATCATGTGTGTATATATTAAACAGAGAGAGAGAGGGGAAAAGAGAGAAAGAGAAAGAAAGAGAATAAAACTTGAAACAGGAGAATCTGTGAAGTATGCTACCATACAAGGCATATAAGTATAAAAATGAAGAAGGGGAGTTATATGCATATAAATGTATAAATATTTTTACATGTATGTAAATGTATCCAGAAATATAAACAAGATCCTTACACGTGGTTGCCTGTGGGAAAGTGAATTGTGTGACTAGAAGAAAAAATAGGGGGAAGATTCTTCATTAAGTTAATATTTTTTGGTACCTTAAAATTTCTGAACCATGTAAATGTATTCCCAATTTTTAAAAAATCTAAATTAAAAAAAATGAAGTATTAAATCTTAGTACCAGGATCTTGGATATCATCTAATCTAACATATATATATAAATAGGCATTAAATAAAGTTAATATGTCTACATGTATTTTGTTTCTTGAGGTTACAACCTAAAATCAAAATAAAGAAGCATAAATTGTACATGTTTAATGAAGTTTAGAAATATAAATGCAAAAAAAAACCCTTAAAAATAAAAAAACATAGCATTTTCACATTTTATATGAGGGAAGGCCTTCTAATTGGAGGCATGAAGGAGAGTAATTCCATTTAATGAACCTACTCTTGGGTATATTGTGGTAGTTTATCTTAAATGCTCCAGAACAAAGAGAGAATGTAGGTTCTTTAAGTTGTCCATGTTGCAAACGTGAAAAGGAATAGTTACAAAAAACACTGGGGTTTGTGATGGTGGGATAGTGAAGGGCAGTGTAGTGTGTCCAGCTTTTGAGGGTGATGAACTCTAGAGGTGAAACGCTATCTGTTTACTTAAATTAGTCAGTAGGTGAAAGCGAATGTTAGGACTTGAGCTTTGAAGCCATATTGTCTGAATTTGATTCCTGGCTCAGGAACTTACTTTCGGTGTGTCCTTGGGCAATTATTTGATCACTTAAATATTCTTGGCCTTAACTTCCTCATCTGTAAAGGAATAAACTAATAATGTCTATCAAATAGGGTTTTGAGAATTAAATGAGATAATCTATGTAAGAGATTTAGTACAGTGCTTAACACATAGTACATGCTTAATAAATGTTAGGTGCTATTATTATTATTTTATATGAGCTTAAGGATCCCTTGAAATAATTTTTTGGCTTGCCACGAGATCCAAAAGTCAAGTTTGGGAACTACTGACATAGGGGTTGGAAAGGAGAAACAATGTTGAACTTAATGTTATGGTAATGGATTCTTAGCCTGACACTCACTTTTTTGGACATTGGACTTTGCCTCAGGTCGTTCACCTGTAAAATAGGTTTAACGAGAGCTAATATGCATAGAGCTCATACCGTGTTCTAAAAGACTTACCTGCATTATTTCGTTTAGTCTTCATATCAAACTTATGATGTGATTACTATTATTAGTTTCATAATGGAAAACTTGAGTAACAGGTTGAATCACTTGTTTGAATTCACATAGGTAATATGCAAACAAGTCAGGATACAGCAAAGGCAGTCTGACACCATAGCTCTTGATCACTAAGCAATGTTTTCTTCCATGTATTGATAGCAGTACTCACCTACCTCAAGGGGTTTAGATGAAATTTCAGATGCAGTGTAACAAAAGTACCTTGAAAAATGTGGAGAGCTAAAAGGTCTTATCCATTTAGCTGCAAAGTGCTCTGAAAAGACTAATAGTTTGAATAAGTTACCTCTGAATTATCTTTGGTTTATGATTCAAGGAAGGGAGGACCATGGCCAAATCTTTCAAGCTGCTTACCTGTTCTTTCCAGAAGGGCACACACATGGCCAATTCTTCAAGAACAGATATTGCCTGTGATTTGCCACTAAAACATTTCCTTAAAGTGGTATAATAATGATGTCTACTCCATGTGGCTTGGTGGAAAAATTAAATGACACAAAGGAAGAACATAGGAAGCACTTGATATATTTTAATTATCATTATTCATATTACTATTATTACTGCTATTATTGTTGTTATAAAAAGTATTTGTACTACTATTATCATTATTAAAATATTATTATTATTAGCCACTGAACTTCCGAGGTTAAACCTGAATAAGTCTTCTCTGACCAGAGGTCAATAACTATGTGGTAAAGACTGGGCAAGTATTTTATTATCAACATTTTTACCTGTGAAATAGGCTTTTTTCCACTTCTTTTTAAAGTTCAAAAATTTAAAAATTAAAACCAGTTACCAAATCTTGTTTCCTAATTGTGAATTTCAAATTTGTGTTTTCCTAACATTTTTATTTCTTAGAACTTTATGTAAATCTTTGCCATTTATCAGAGCTTTACTAAAACTGTTCTTTGCACCCCACAAGTTGTACAGAAACATAATGAATGGCCTCAGTGACTCCATTCAATATGAATTAGGACTGACTGACTAGGAGTGATTATTCTACAAGGATACAGTGTTCTCATCATTTTTCTTTGAATCGATCATTAGAATCAGAGACACTGAAGCAATTAATCCTCTTTCCTTTGTAAATCAATGTTGTATGTATTGCCAACATCAGCTTGTAGCCCGATGGCTCTTCTGTGTTTATCTCGAAGGCTGGTTGGAGATTGTCTGTTATATTGCTTTATTATGTAAGCCAAATTCCATAGGTGTGCATGACGACAGTCCTACGTTAAACAAGCGTACTGCTGACCACACCTGTTCAGCTAAAAACACATACACGCAAGCACACACAGACTGGAAAAGTGATCTTAAATTATTTTTCACTTAGATTATAAAAGAGCTCTTAGGTAGTTACAATTCTGAGTCAGAAATACAAGGTATGAATCTGATCCTGTGACTTCCATGTGGAAGTTTTATTCCCTTTAGCTTGGATCCACGAGAACATTAAGTAAGGGTGTGGTGCTCTTGCTCTTTATAAATAAAATTTACTGGTATACAAGAGCATAGTTGTCTATCTAGTGCATGAAATGATTAGTCCATGCCTTTGTACATTTCTTTTTGGATAGATCAATCAATATCTTGACTGACTCACATACTTTTTTAAAAACTTGTTTTATGTATAAGAAATTTGACAGAAAACCAATCACCTCACTGTTTCATTCACTCATTTCTCACTCACATAAGCAACACATATTTTTTTTTCTGCTGGCTCAGGTACAATTTGTTTTTTCTAAAATCACCTATGAATTTGTGATTGATTTAACTTGCATCAGTAGCTTTAAACGTGTCTAACCTGAAAGACACTTAAAGAAAAGATAGCAAGGTCAAAGATCAATAAATATTTTGATAAGTATATAGGTATATAAGATAATGGGAAATACTTGTTTGCATATATTTTGATACTATATATATTTTGTTTCACATAACTTTTTCTTTAATTGAGGAGATAGTTTAGGGTACTGGAAAAAGCATTGGCTTTGAAGTCACACAAATCTAAGTGCCATTTCCAGCTCTGCCGATTGGTTGTATGGCCTTGAGGGATTATCTAAAATAACCACACCTTCGTTCCCTCAACAAAAAGGAGAATAAAAAACTTATGGAAGTTGTTTTTATATTCAAAGGAGTAAAGAGGATAGTCTGTAGAACCTACCATAATATCTGGCATGTAAGTAATAATTATATCCACTTATCTATGCCATATTCACACACACACTACATACACAAACTACATACACACATTTAAAACAATGTTTTGAGAACTAGGGCATTAAAAGCAATGAAAACAAAAACCTGAGAATAACTGCTTATTAGTTGATTCCTAAAGAACATGCAATGTCTATAAATTTAGACCTCAGAAAAACCCTAAATTCTTACAGTTTTTGCTTGAATCATTAAAATGGAAACACATCACTGTTAAATGGTGAACCAACTTATGTCTGCTGAAGATGTGCAC